AGAGCAGGGCACGTCAGGATGGAACATGAGAGGTGAAGCTGACTTTGATGTAGGCACTGCAAATTAATTTTCTAGAACAGGATCATGGGATAGTTGGGGTTGGAAGGGACATTTAAAGGTTATCTTATCCAAACCCCTGCAATGAGCAGGAACATCTTCAGCTAGATCAGGTGTTTTGGGGTTATGTCAATGTTTTTGGTGTTGACTCTTACCACTACTCTTCCATCCACATGTTCTAGGGTCTTCCAGCATTGCCTACAAATAAATCCAATTTTGATACACTTTCTCTACCCACCACACCACTCAGCCTCAAAGAGGACACAGTTAGACACAGGAACAAGGGAAGTGTGAGGGACAAATATTCACATCCACACAGCTTTCCATTAACCATGAATGCTCCCCTGGGGATGGGGAAGGGGCCCTGACACTTGGCAGAGTTTAGGCATGGAGCAGCAAGACGGTGATTTACACAGAGCTACAAAATAAATTTCCCATCTCTCAGCATAAATAACTACCTTCCCAGGAAGTCTTGGTTGCAGCAAAGCTGCACAAGTGCATCTAGACACCTGGAAGTATTGCAAATAATTCCTACTAGAGGCCCTTGCAAAGCAATTCCCAAAAATAGCCTTTTCTTTTTATATTTTTTCTCAGAAATGGATAAAAAAGAAGAAAAATCCCCTCCAATCCCATGACATGAGGGCAGCCACTCCCCAGCCAGAGGCAGGTGAGCCGGGGCTGGCTGTGCTTCACCCAGTGTGTTGCATTGTAAAGGTTTGCCCGTGGTTGAGTTAATCCCAGACACATTCCTGAGCCATCAATCAGAGCTGAGTCAGCCAGCGTGATTGGTCTGCCCTTTTTATTTTTTTTAGCCATCACAAGTTCTCTTGCCTTGTTTGCCAGCAGTGAGCTGGGAGTTTATTCTTTTATTTTTTTTTTTTTAATAAAAATGGGACTTGACTGGGAGCAGGGAAATGTTCCAGCTGTCGAGTATAACCTTTAAAGCTCTACTGCCTCAAGGAGTTTTCTCCTCTCTGGGATGCTGCTACAAAATGCACCACATGGAAGAAAAATAAAGGATGCTGCCTGGGATGGCACTGATTCCACTCCCTTACTTGGGGGTGGCGTGACACAAGCCCCATCTTGCACATGGAAAGAGGAGAACAGATTTTTGGAGGCGGGGGGGGGCGGAATTTTCTTGCAGAGCAGCCTTGGAAATGCTGCCCAAAGCCATTTTCAGGGAGGCAAAACCTTCCCCCGTGCTCTTCCCACAAGGACAAGGTTTTATCACGGCTTCCAAACAGCCCCTGCCTGCCGTGGGGAGGGCAGGGGAGCTGCGCTGATGTTGTGGCTTCGTGTGACCTCAGCCCACCCCGGCTGGAGGTGTTATCAGAGCCCCTGCAGGACTCCGTGTGAGGTGGGTGCAAGGCTGCACTCTTTGCCCTAAAACAAGTATTTTGTCTCTGCCTGGCTCAAGGAGATAGCCAGGTTGCTAGAGATAAAAAGAACAGCTAAAAAAAAAATAAATTCAAATCTTATGGCTGCTGCTGGATTTCCCAGAGAGCACAGGTCCTCCCTACCCTCAGGATGTGCACAGGGATGAGTATGGCCACAATCTCACACCTCAGCAGGTCCACCTAGAAAATATTATTATTGCAGATGCCTCAATCACTTAAAATGAGAGAACACCCTCCTTGGTGAAAGGGCTTGGAGCACAGAGCAGTTGGGAGAAGGGGGATGATCAGCAGCCAGCAGGAGCCAAACCACAGAGCTGAGCTGGGATGCACAGCACTCTGCACCTTTTAGCCCCTTTTGCTCCTTACAAGCTTTTAAAGATACAAATCCTATAGTGGGACAAGCATCTCAACACAGAAAAAGCATTCACTCAAGGTGGGCTCCCGAAAACCATGTCAAATTACACCTTTCCCTCCTTCTCCCACTTCTTCTCTGGAACAATGAATTAATATTAATTAATAAAAAGTCTACACACAACTCTACAGGGAGGTTTTCTTGCAGGTGACAGCTCCTATTTTCCTGCCTTCAGGGCAAAGACAGCCCTGATCTCAGGGGACAGCTCTTGTCCAACCCTTCATTCAGCAGCCAGGTATTTGATTTCAAGAACTAAGACTAGGTTTGAATAAAATGCCTAGTCCTGCCTAAATTACAGCCTAGGTTTAGATCTAGGCAGGACAAGTCCCAATACATTACTTTTCTAATCAAGAGTGATGTAGCATGCAGAGCTTGGGGGGCTTTTGCTTGTGCTAAGCAGGTGTTAACACCTGTAGAATTCATAGACTGGTTTGAAAAACACCTTCCACCAGACCAAGTTGCTCCAAGCCCCCTTCAACTTAGCCTGGACCACTTCCAGGCATGGAGCATCCACAATCTCTCTCCTATGAGAATTTTTGTTTATGAGGCAAAGGAAAATGTGTGAGGCAGCACAGGGTGGCACATGGTGACCCCTAGGGTGTGAGAGCATGATTTCTAACACAAGGAGAAACCAGGTCACATCTGTATTTCAACAAGATATTTTATTGGTCCAGCAACTGCAAAATATACAAATTTCTGAAAGGCATACCCTGTCTTTAAGCTGGCACAGGTTTTTAATCAGGCAATTATTCCAGATGTCTATACAGAACAGTTAACATACCACAAATCAAAACAAAAAAGTAATTCCAAGTAACTACACCCTTCTCTCCAAGCTTTGCAGTATACATTAAATAAATAAAGAGCACTTTGCTATAAAAAAAAATTAAAAAAATAAATTCAAGTATTCACAAAGGAAAAAAAAAAGAGGGGAAAAAAAAAAATGGGGGAAGAAATCATTGGTGTGGTTTGACATGTCCTCTCTCCCAGTCTGCCTTGTTTGAGGCATCAACTGCCCAGTCCTTGGCTCTATTAACCAAAAAGAAGGACAGCAAGTTTTTTGGGGCAGCTGTGATGGTACAGGGTTGACACCATCCCACCAACCCCTCCAGCACAAGAGGAACTCAAGAGAGCAGCTTTCCCAATGATGGAAAACACACCTTAACCAAATTTCAGGTTTTTGTAGACCTACTGAGACATCTATTATTACTAAAGGATGAAAGTTTAGGGCCATTTTGTTGTTTTTTTTCTGTTTTATATCTATATATTTATATATATACCCACACACAAATGCACACCAAAACATCTGCAGAATTACACGTGTACAGGATTGATCTGGGGACAGCCAGACGTCATGTTTGTATTTGCTGGCTTATCTTTTTGCAGCAGGAGGAGAAGAGAGATAAAACTCCCCATGAAGGAGGAAGTTGAAAAGAGCCAAGTGAGTGGCCTCCCCAAAACATTCATTTATCTGAAAGGCAGAGAAACCAAAAGCGCAGATGCCACCCCGGGCACAAAGGGAGAAGTTCATTTTTAATGAGGCTATTAAAACAGAAATAAAGCAGGGGAAGTGTTCTTTTGTTTTATCTATACAGGAATATGATACACATATGCACAAGCTCACACAGGCAGGGCACTGCCAGGACTTCCAGCCCCGTGGGACATGGGCTGAACACGGTCCTGGCCCCCTCCCGCCATCGGTGCCGCTCCGAGCACGAGGCTGAAGCGTGAGGCACTGTGGTTCGCCTTTTCCCAAAGGAAAAACAGACCAAACCCACCCCCAAAACATACACACAACTCACAAAAAAAAACAATTTCTCCACCAAACCTCTCCACCCCCATGGCTGGGGACGGTGTTCCCCACAGAGGGCACTGGGGAAAGCCATGGGAAGGGTGAATCCAAAGGGTTGCTCACCTCCAGCTCCCCAGCCTAGTGCTGCAGGAGCAGGGGCTGCCTTCACCTCCTGCCTCCAGCAAAAAAAAACAAACATGATGGGCATGGAGACAGTGCTGCACATAGGTGGGGAAAAGACCCAAAACCAAACCCAGAACCCTAAAAAAAATTAAAAATAATAATAAAAAAATAATCCAAAATCCACAGACTCTTGCAGAAAGCAATAGTGGTTAAATGCCACTTAAAACTGCTATCTCCCAGCCCAGGTCAGGCTGTCAACAAGGGATCTTATGGATCAAACCACTGGGAGTTGGCTGATGGAGTCAGTCAGGACCTCACCCTGTTCCCCCCACCTCAAACACTGTAACAACTATTATTTTGTAGTCCCAGCTTTCCAGCATGCAAAATACAATTAAAAACAAACAGAAAATGTTGCCTGTATTCAGGCGTCCCCTGTTAAGGGGCAGAACTCAGAAAAAAATAAAGTAGTTATGCTTCTGCCACAAATAAAGTGCGAAAACCAAGCAGTTTCTAAGTATACACATATACACACACACACGTGTGCATGTATATATAAAATTAAAAAAAAAATACAGACAAAGCTGTCCCTTCTGGTGGCTTTTTTGTAGTCACACAGGGACTTCTGCAACCCAGCCAGGCATCTGGCCACCTCCATAAGACCTGTGTGTCTACAAACTGCATCTAAGCCTAGGGATTCAAACCCTTCCCAATACCTCCACTTCCATCTAAAAAAGAAGAAAGGGGAGATGAAGTACCAGCACAGGACCCCAAACAGTGCTCAGCCTCCCCAAAATTCAGCCCCTGCCTGAACTCAGACCATCCCTGGCTGCTCCCCAACATGAAAGCATCACCCGAGCCCCTGCTGGCATGGTTCCTCATGCACTGCAGGCAGCTTTCAACCAGTTTTAGCAGCAGATCTACATTCTCTGCAAACCCCTTTAAAGTACGTTGATTTAAAAAAAAAGTGAAAGAATGGGTTATTTTTTTTTTATTAAACCCAGCAGTTCTTGCAGTGAAGGAGTTCACACAGCTGCTTTCCTGGTGCTCACAGATCTCCATGAGCCAGGCTGGCATGTGTGACCAGTTGTAGTGTGGGTGAGGGACTGCAGCACAGCATGTTAGGGGCTTATTCAAAAGTAATTAACATTAATAATAATAATAAAAAAAATGCAAAACCCCTTTACCCACCCCCCCTTCCCCCTATTTCTCTGCTAACCCCACACCATCCACATATATACACACCCCACCCAGAGATGGATGGGTACCAATCATCTATACAGAAGATCCAAACCACTGGAAAGGGAGGAAAATTAAACTCCTGTGCACTACAGAAGCACTTTACAGCTCGCTACAGGATGCTGGAGAGGAGAGCAAACGCTGCAGCCTGAAGAGCTGGTGGTGACCCCGTGAGGGAGCTGGGCTCCTCCGCCGCTCTCCTGCATCCCTCCCCCCTCAGCAGCGCGGGATTTTGCGGATGAACGGGCAGCGTGAGCGGAGCCTCACCGCGGCCGGAGGGGACCGGTTTGTAAGCAAGCTTCGGGAATGGCGATGGGATGAGAAGCTGGCGGCGCCGGCAGCGCCAGCGGCCTCGTGAAGGTGCCCACGGAGTCACGACAGCTTCTGGGAGTTGCTCATGTTCTGGAACGAGAGGGGAAGGAGAGGCGTTGGGGGCTGTGCTGGGGTCAGGCTCCAGCCCAGCAGCGCCTTCTAAGAACACATGAACGAGGGGACAAGGAGGAACAAAGCCACGCACGGGTCACTACGAAGCACCCACCATAGAGGAGAGGACACTGCCCACCCGAGGAGAGAGGCAGCTGGCTGACTCACTGCCCACCCCCTCCTCAAGCATTGCCTGGCTTTAATTACAGAGTTAGAATTGAGATATCCCTTAAAACTGAGCTAAAACCCAAGGCAACCCTCCCACCCCACCCTGTCTGTCCTTCTGAAGCTGCTCTTTGGTCCACACAAGGCAAGGTGACAGGGGACCACAGTGCTCATTCAAGCAGCCAAATTCAACATCTCTCTCTTGCTCCCTTCAAGGGTGGGCAGTATCCCCCCACATCTGCCAAGGATGAGGCCATTTTCTGTCCATCCTTAGCAATGCCAAGAACAGGCAGCTCCCAATGGCCATGCCAAGGACCACCAGTGGCAGAGCAGCAGCACAACTCCCCTGGTGACACCCCATGAGTTTTCATGGGCCCAAGAGACACTCCAGACACAGCCCTGGTACAGAGTGACAACAACAGGTACCCACCAGCACATGGTGAGGACTACAAAACCAGAGACGATCAGCTAAACAGAAGCAGGACCAGCCCCGAGGAGAACATCTTCTCCAGGAGAAGCCCAGGGAACGACAAAGACATTTCCCAACTCACAGAACTACATGAAACAAGGTAGGGAAAAAAAAGGACTAGGAAACAGCTAGGAAGGGTTCTTTTTTTTTTTGAGGTTTTTTTTTTAATGCTTTTACTACCTAAGCTGCCTCTTACAAGCACCAGGAATCCTGACCAGGCTAAGAGGCAGAGTGGGCTGAGCTGTTCTCTCTGTTATCTAAGGAGACAGGAGGAAGGTTAGGAAAAGCCGCATGCACCACAGCCATTTACCTTGGAAATATTAGCAAAGAGAAAACTTTGAGAAAGTGACAAACGGGTCTTCTTTTTAAGCATGAAAAGTGAAGGGGAGAAGAAGGGAGGGGATCAGGTGACTGTTCAAAGGTGCACTTTGGATCACAACCAAGCAAAAAGAAAAGAAATCATCACGCCAGCTAGTCCCACAACCCCCAGCCAGCTCAATCCCACAGCCAGGAGGACTCAGAGGTACTCAGCCACATCCCCAGCCTCTCCTGGTCCTCCTGGATGGGGATCAAGACCCCCAGTGTGAGGGCTGATGCAGTGAAGCCCCCACTACCAACCCAGGTCCAGGATGCAGGTTGTGAAGGAGGTACCTTCCACCTCCCCATACAGGTGGTGACAGTGAAGGACTAAACCAGTGCACAAGACAGCAGCCTCCCAGAGCTAACAGCAGTGTGAATGTCACCAGGCCTTGGGTTTGGCAGGTCCTTGTAGGTCCCACAAAAGCAGCCTTTAAGTCCCACGCTAGGAGGTGGAGACAGGCTCCCAGCAGGTGGAGATTTTCAACTTGCTGCTGCCAGCCTATACCTGGTGTGGGTAACCATCACTGCCTGCTCCAGCAAAATCTGACACATCCATCTCCCAAACTCATCAGCAGAGTGTGTTTTCAGTGTCCCAGCCAGCACCAAGGCATGCACCGCCCTTTGTTACAATACAGATGTGAAAACGGTGGAGGGAAGGATGGACAAAAATGAAAATACTTTCAAGTGCAACCCAAGAGGATCAGGTTCCATCAGGGGCTTCAGTGGCCATGAGCAGCAGGAGAAGGGTCACAGGCATGCAGGCCATGCTGAGGGACTCAACCTCTACACTCGTGCAGGAGCACGGTGATCTCACCCAACCCATCCACCAGCAAAGCCAAGTGCAGCAGTCCTAACTTCCTTTTTCTCAAAAATGTTTACTCTAAAAGGGGAAGAAATATGAGCTTCAACAGCTGCTGCAGGGAAGCAGGGCTGAGCTCTGGTCTGGTCATGTTAGAGCAGATCCCTCTATCTTCAGCCCACAAAACAACCCAAGCCAGGGATGCTCACAGGCTGATTTGAACTGACCCTCAGAGGGCAAAAAGGCCCCCTGGACACCAGCCAGCATCAACTTAGCCGCAAAGTCTTCCAAGCCTTTGAGAAGACACCTGAACACATAACTGCTGCTCTCAACTCAATGTAGCATTAATTAAGTCCAAAGGCTTCAAATTTATCCAGGAGCTATCCTGTTCCTCGGGGATACAACAGCACTAAGCCAAACTGCCAGAGCCTTGATTATTCATAATTAGTGCATTGAATGCTCAACGTGTTCTGCTTTCGTAACAGAGGTAGAGAAGGACAATTTCCATTCACTCTGCCTACAACATCTAGACTGGGTGTTTCCAAAACCCAGGTTTGCAGAACTGCAGTTGGCTGGTCCCATCCAGCTCCAGGAAACACATTCCTGAGAAGGTCAGAAGCTTCTCAGATACCTCTCTGGTGCCAACACTCACAGGCAGAAGTCAGAGCCCTCAGGAAGGACAGAGCACCCAGGTCTCTCACAGTACAACATACTATCACAGAGGACACAACTCCAGGAGAACCCAACAGCATCACCCATAGGCATCATCATCAGAGTGAAAGTGATAATTTGCTTAATTTCACAACACAATTGGGACCATTTCATCAAGCTAGGATACAAACCAGCACCCACAGTCTCCTCTTTACTTTTCCTAAAACAAATCCCACTCCCTCCATAAACAGCAAAATACTAACTCCCAAGAAATCCACACCCCGTCTGGATTTTGCAACAACAAAACAACCCAGCAGGATGGCAACAGACATGGAAAAAGAGGTTGGAAGGGGGAATAAGACGCAAGAAGGTACTTACAGGCATGCCTTCCCTAGTAAAGGCTGCAGAGAGACAGAGAGAACAGAGAGAGGTGTCAGTAACCCTGCACCACACCAGGCAGAGGACAGTGGGCAGCAGCGAGGGGCACTGGGCAGCCAGAGTTGGCAAAAGGTTTCCTTGTGAGGATCAACCAGCCCAAGCAGAGCCCTGGGAGCTGAGACAGACCCAGCTGCCCTGGGAGGCTCATGCAAAGCAGCAACCAAGCAGAGCAATGGGGGAGCACAGAGCCATTCCTAACCTGGCCAGGATCTGGGTGAGGAGGGGAGAAAGGACATCACACCAACATAGACAACAGAGAGAGGGGCTGGGCATGACAGTGAGATCCAACAGGCAGCTGGTGGGAAGGGCAGCATGGCAAAGGCTCCTATAGATTATATAGGATTCCTTAGTGAGCTTAGGAGAGGGGTTTGTGCCTGGAGAAGTGAGCAGCAAGCAAGGCCTCTCTTCCTATGTCCCTTCTTGGGTGGGTGAAAGAGGAGAGGACACATGAGCACCATGGCAGCTACCCACAGGGTTTCACCCAGGCTCACCACACCCAGAGCCCTCTATTCAATTGTGATCCAATTTGTCTACACCTCCAGGATGAAGGAGACCCTTCCAGCCAAAGATGAGTCTTGGCAGCTCCTCCTTAAGGAGTAAATGAAAAAAATGCACAAGAGCATTTGATTTATTGCCATGCCCAGCCCTACACTGGAGCCAAGCGTGCCTAGAGGAAAGGCACGAGCTCTTTGTTCCTGCTCACTCCAGGGAGGAGACCCCTCAGGAGAGGTTGATTCTGGATAGTGAAGGCACTAAATTAATGCAGCCTAGAGCTTGGTGGAAGTTCATGATGCTCTCAAAAACCCAAGAGAGGATCAACAGTGACCCAAGGCGGGGAGGGACAGCAGTCGTGGGAGGAAGATGCATCTCAGACAGCAGCACAGGTTACGACAAGTGCAAGCAGTTCCTCAGCTTCAGGAGTGACAGGAGGACAACAAACAATAAAACAACAAGAACAACAACCAAAAAAATAAAAAGAAAAAAAAAGGGAAAAAAATAGAGGGAGGAAAAAAAAAAACAAACAAAAAAACAACAAGAACAACAACCAAAAAAATAAAAAGAAAAAAAAAAGGGAAAAAAATAGAGGGAGGAAAAAAAAAAAAAAATAAGAGTTCAACTAACTTGTCCCGGCATCTGCGTGGGCACTTCCTGAGGAACACAGCCTGGCAGGGCAGAAGAAACAGCCACATGCTCCTCAAAGCTGTTGATGCGAGGTTTTTTGGTGGGCTCTGGGCTTGCTAGAGGGGTAACGCTATTACGTCTCATGAGCGGGTTAGGTCCCTTCTTTGCTTCCTAAATTAAAGTGAGACAAAGAAAATAAAAGTAAATATAAAAAAATAAAGCAAAATAAAGAAAAGGGAAGAAGGCGACAGTTATAAAGGAAAAAAAAAAAAGAAGCAAGTTGCTTTGGTTTTCTCTTTTTTTAATTTTTAAGTGGCCTCTGCTTTTCCCCATAGTCACTGTCAATAAGCAAAGAATGCACTGGAAGGCTCTGGACACAGAAAAAACCCTGATACAAAATGTTTAAGAGAGCAGAAGGGGAGAAAAAAAAAAATGGCTCTGCACTCAGACATGAGACAGACTTTCTCCTCATCTGAGTCTCAGCTGACAAAAGAGAGTAACCACATGTAGCTAAACACACCCAGCAGCAATCAAGCCATGGCTCTGCACGACAGAGGTGCCCATCGGTCTCCTCCTCAAAGCCAGTCCCTCCACCCAGAGAGAGGAGTGAAAGCAAGAAGAGGGAAGATGAGCCAGCCCAGGCTGACCAGGAAGATTTGGGAAATGGGAGCAGAGCAGCCAGCGAGGGTCGGCACCGCACCAAGCTCCAACTCAAGCGAGGAGGGATGGAGGCAAAGCTGAGCATGGGGCACCCAAGCACTTGGCACCTGTCTCACCCCATCCTACCCGAGGCCTTGCTGCCATCCCCAGAGAGGGCAAAGCAGGGCATCAATGGCTCCAAGCAGGGGGAAGGACTGGCTTCCCCCTACAGCTGCAGGGGAAGCAAAGGCAAGGAGATGTGGGCCAAAGGGGGACAGCCCAAACTGCTCAGCATCACTTTGGGCTCCACCAGCACTAAGCACAGGTTAGAAATGTCCCAGCATCTTGGGACATGGGTGCTGCCAGGGTCCCTGTGGCCCACTCTGGGTGGCTGCCCAGCCCTGACACCAAGTTGGCATCTTCCTGTTCTGGCCTCTGAGCTCCAGTGGAGCACTTGGCAGACAGACCCAACCTTACAGGAATTTTTCTCTACAGGGGGGGTCTCCTCCACAGAGCATCCCCAGACCAGCACTGCTACTTCCCACACTGTAGAATGACAGAGAGCCACGGGCATACCAGGAAAAAGACCCTCAGAGGCAGAGGTAGGGCAAGCATTGAGCCCAGGCTCTGCCAGCCAACTGGGAGACTTGGAGGAAGTCATCTTCTCCATTCTCAGCTCCATTCCCTGCTCAGGCGAGTGCATGACTGTGCAGGTGAAAGTCAGAGACCAGGGAGGAGTTTTCCCTGGGCAAACACACTGGGAAGCAGGAACATGCAACAACAGTCCTTTTCCCATGGAAAACCCTCAACTGGCCACAGCTTTGCAGAGCAATAACATATCTGATGCTCCCAGTCTTCCAGCAGCACTTCCAAGCACCCAGCTGAGCAATCTCCCCATGCCCACCCCAGGCATGATTTGGCAGTTCCCACTGCCAGCTGACCACAAGGGACAGGAGGGGGACACCCAAGAACAGCTCCAGGGAAAAGCAACACTCACCTCTGGCCGATCTCTGTGGGTGTTGACTGCTTCAATGTTCAGTGAGATGGATTCCACGCGGCAGCCTGCAGAAGGAGCACAAGGAGACAGATCAGCAAGCCCAGCAGGCACAGGATGTTACCAAGTGCCCCACCATGGATCCCTGCTTTTCTCCCAGCCAGCCTGGATTCAGGATGAGGTACAAATCAACCCCCCTGGCATGTTTAGGCAGGTCTCACTCACCATAGGCTACAGGAGTCAGCTTCAACACTGTGTGCAGGGGACACTTCAGGTAGGGCATTTCATCTGCAGAGACAGCAAAGCAGGAGGATTATCTCACCTCCTCCCCAAAGGCAGGATCAGACACCCTCATCCCACACCAAAGAGATGCATGCTCCAGGATGTGAACACAATCTCCCCAGAGCTGTATCCAGCATCCCTCCTCCAGCAGGGCCAATCCTCTCCCCAGAGACAGGGAGCTCACCTGCACTCTTGTCCAGGAAGTACGCCAGGAGACAGCGCATGACAGCCTGGTGGCAGATGACAAGGACGTTTTCTTGCCTCTCCAGCTCCATGATGACTGGTTCCAGGCGCTGCACCAGGTCTTGGTAGGACTGGGACAGAAAGGAAGGGAGATGAGGCATGGAATCAATGCAACGAGCATCCCCAAAGAAACAACAGCTCCTGTCTTGGTACACCTCCTGATTTCATGCCTCTGAGTAAACCAACAAACTGCTAAAAACAAATTGATTCTCATCCTCAGGCTACTCCGAAACATCTTCTGTCAGAGAAGGAGCCATTCACATCTCAGTGAATCACAGCTCAGTCCTGGAGAATTAATTAAGGTAAACAACAGGGGCCTTGAAGATAGAGCCTCTCCATCATCTTGATATTTGGTTTTGTAGAGGATTTCAAAGTTCTGAGAAGTCTGGAGCAACCTGAGAAACCCCAGGGTTTTGAAGGGCCTCCAAAAGCCATGACAGGCAGCCAGAAGGAGCCCAGACACCCAAAGTTTGTGTCTGGTATTGCCACATATTCTTCTCTTAGATACAGGGTCATATGTCAACAACAGATTTTTCTGAACTGTCTATAGGCATGACTTTCAATTTGGGGATAATTAGCTCAATTCACAGCCTAAAGTATCACCCAGAACTGATGTCAATTCGCACCTCATTGTGTCACACCCGAAAAGCAGACTGCCAGGAACAGAGATATTCCCATCAACCCTTAGGGAATGATACTGAGAACAAGGTGAACATTTTTAGAAATGAAAGAAAATTGGGGCAGCACAAAACTGTGAGCAGGTATAATGATGGAGGTTGGACTAGAAACCTCCAGAGACCTTTCCCTACTAATTTTCTATAAAGTCAGTGGGACTGTTTGTTAAGTGACATTTCTTAGTGAGATCTTCATATGCCAAAATTTCACAAGAGCTCAAGTAGAGGTAAACATGTGCCCTGATCTCTTAACTCTAGTTTCCTGGAGCTCTCACTGCTTCTCTGCTCAAGAGTAGAGGACAGAATGAGGAAACAAAGGCCATATTTAAAGTAAAAGTCCTCTCTCTGAAGGTGTCCCTGCAGACCTACCTCCCCAGAAGGATAACGGTAGTAATATTTATCCTGATCACGCAGAGCAAATTCCTCTGGATGTTGCTCCCTGATTTCTTCATAGGTCATTTCTTCACACACACCCTGCCAGGGCAAGACAACCATGAGGTTACTGGACATGCTCAAGTCCAACAGCATCAGCACAGCCACCAGACAAAACCTCACTTTCTCTTGTTAAGCAACAACCAGCCTCATCCAGCTATTCTGGCTGCACAGACACTCACAGCATCGATTTCATTGAGTGCCTTCCACTGCTCATAGGGCAGCTGGAGAGCTTCTGCTGTTTGGATTGTCCTCTTTAGCTGGCTGGTCCAAATTTTGAGGTCCTTCAGGTTCTGCTCTTCCACAAATTTGTTCAGCGCCACTGCAAACTGTGGGACATAAGAAAAAAGAGGTTGATTCTTGGTCCATAGCTTTCCAATGGGCCTTCTCCCAGTAGGCCAGAAAGATCAGCCTTCTGCTCTGAGGGGAAGGGCAGTAACACATTCATTGGTGCCCAAGAGCTACAGATGGACCCTCAGCAGCCCAGCTGTCATCAAACAGCCACTTAACCCAAGGCACAGCATCTACTACAGCCAGATCACTCCTGGAAGCCACAGGGGAGTATTTTCCTTCTTCCTCACCTTCTTGCCCCTGTTGGAGAGGCCAGAGTCTCCTCCAATCCTCCCCTTGAGGTTGAACTCGCTCTCGCCGTGCCGACAGAGGTAAATGGTGCGGGGCTGGACGTGGATGTTCATCAGGTAATAAACAATCCTGCTCTGGATGTGATCCTGAACCCTGTTGACCAGGAACCGCCGGCCAACATCGATGACTTTGATGAGAGAAAGTTCCCTGGGGACAGACAGACGTCATTCTCAAAAGCAGCCCTGTGAGTTCTCTGTGCGTGCAATCACCGGCTCAAAAGGATTTCCTGCAGGCTATTTTCAGCAGGGAGCCAACAGGTAATGGGGGTTCATGGAGGGCTGAATAGCAGCAGTGTAATCACCACCTCTCCTCTTGCAGCAGTAAAGAGGATTAAACAGGACTAACAGGGAACATGCTCCTCCCCAGGACAGGGATCAGCAGGACTGGGATAATCTGTGCAGGGCACACAGACGTGTTTGTGAGCAGTGGAGAGGCTGGGAGGTGCCTGCAGAGTCAGGCAGGACAGCAAAACTCTTCCAAGACACACAACAACCAGGTAGAAGCCACAGGGCTTGCTCAATCCTGTGGTTTGAGCCAAGCAGTCCCTTCCTTTAACTGGGACAATGAAAAAAGCACCTCAACCACTCAAACTCAAGTGCTTTCCCAAAGCCTTTGTATTTAGGCCAGCAGAACAAGGTTGAAAACAGCTCATCTGAGCCCAGAAGAGCCTGGGAAGGCATCAGTGCCCATTTCTCTGGCACAGGGCCTGGGGAAACCAGCATTTTCCTATAAAAGGCCTGAATTTGAGGTGAGGCCTGGCCATAAACCATTCTAGCACAGTCAAGTATTTGAAGACAAAGTGAAATACAGCTCCACCATTCACTGCTCCTCTCCTGGGAGAGGGCAGGTGCTCAAGGCAGCTCAGAAGCCAAGGTCTCTTACCTGTCATAGTCATCAGGGTCAAGGGGCTGGTAGCTGGCTTGGTAACAATTGATCCTCTTCATGAAATCCTCCATGGCATCGGTGGAATTACAGTCCCGGTAATCTGGGCTGGACAATTTGACTTCCTGCAACAGAAAAAAAAGCATGCCACAAGGAGAGGTTAGGAAGCTTTCCAAGCCAGACAATGCTAATCTGGAATTTCAAAGACCTGCCAAGATGCAGTGATTAGCTGAAACCAAGTGATGACTACTTTACAGTCATCACTCATCACAGGGCAGAAAAGAAGCAAACTAGACCCAGAACCAAGCATAATTTGATATCAACCGTTGCATGATTAGTAGAGACACTCATCAGCCCACTCCCATTCTCCCAAGAGTTGGGGTAGCACTTCAGCACCCAACAGCAGGAAAACAGCTTCCTAATGGCTAAACAAACCCCATCAGCTTCAAATTCAAGCTGAGAAAGGGAAGTGCATGAGCTTAGACAAGATGCTTATCCCAGCTCAGCAGCAGGACAACAGTAAGATGGCAACATTCTACCCCTTCCTGTGCATTATTTGCCGCAAGCTGTTAGGCTGAAAGACATTAGAAACAGAATATGTGAATATCCACAACCATCACGGACTAAGTCCTGCCTGAACTAATCTAACAGGCTGTTTTTCCTGAAGATTTGGGCTTGAACAGCAGCATTACACATGGTAGCTTTACAAGCCATCCTGAAACCAACAGGATAACATAATGGATTGAGACATGTGGCAGCATCCCAGGCCTGGGGTGTATTTTCCACACTGATCTCAGCACTAAGAGCACCATTCATCTGCAGTTCCCCATGGAGCAAAATCCCACGCTCAGCTAGGAGCTCATTTTCTCGCCCTTCAAGCAATAGTTTCCAAATAAAGGGATTAAAATCCTCAAAAAAAAAAAAATCCAGCTTGTGAAAAAAAATAAAAAGGAGCAAACTGTGCATTTTGTTGTAGAAAAGGCTGTGTGCAACCTCCCATGAAGCTGGTCATTGGGACAGCAGCTCCCAGCAGGAGAAAAAGTCACTCTTCAGCCCCAGCCCCTGGCTGGCAGCACCATTTTTCTCCAGTGAAGCCATGTTGGCTCTCACCAATCACCTTTTAATTTTTCATGTGTCTCAGCAGAGTTTCCAGGATGGTCTGCTCCATGATCTTCCCAAACACTGATGTGAGGCTGAGCCTGTAGTCCCTCAGTTCTGCCAGGGTTTTGGCTTTGTCTTTCCTAACCCAATCCCTGCTGCTCAGACAATCTCTGTATTCCTCCCAGGCTGCCTGTCCTTGCTTCCATCCTCTCTCTGTAGGCTTCCTTTTTGTGTTTGAGTTTGTCCAGGAGCTCCTTGTTCATCCTGGCATTTTTGATGGCTGCTCCTTTGCTGGGAATGCATCACAGCTGAATTTGGAGAAGATGATCCTTGAGCATTAACTAGTTTTCTTAGGCCCCTCTTCCCTCTTGGGCTTTTTATCCCACAGTACTCCAGGCCAAAATCTGCTCTCCTGACATCTCACTTCACAGCCTCTGCAGCCCAGGCTGCCCTGGAGCTTCACATTCCTCACTAACCCCTCCTTGTTGGTGATAAGGTGCAACATAGAGCAAACAAGGAGAGAGAAGGAAGTCATCAACACATTCCAGGAACCTCCTAGACTGCTGTGCTGTCCCTCCAGCAGATACCAGGGGGGTTCAAGTCCACCATGAAGACCAGAGCTTGTGAAGGTGATGCCATTGCTACCTCTTTATGGAAGGAACGTAGAAGCAGGACAATTCCACCAGTTCCACACTTACCATAACGTTGGTGGCAACTACGTTGGGATCATTGCAGACAGATTCAATGAAGAACACCTGTGAAGCAAAGCAAAGCTCAGCTGAAAGACACCAACAAGGTTTGTAACATCCAGCCAGCTCCTTGCTCAACCCAGCCTCCTCCCTGCTTGACCAGAGAGCTCTCCCTCTGCTCCACTCCCATCCTTTCCTTCCCCATGGCTCAGAACACGGAATGAAGGAAAGAGTTTAATATTTTTAATCAAACCCAGCACTGAAATCCCCCTCCCACAGGATCAGCATGAGAATAACACAAGTAAAAGAAGATACACCAGCTCTACACCACAGTAGACTTCACAATGCAGGCATCAGCCCCATAGCACCAACCTTGAATCCGTTCTCTTTGGCAAAGTTTAGGATCATCCCTCTCCTCTCCCTCGTGGTATTGGTGGCATCAAAAACCTTTAAAAGCAAAAGATCTCAATTAGCACCACAAGGGCGTGGCTTCCCAGTGAGCCCCTCCTCAGAAAAGGGTCTGCAGAGGAAGTCTTGGGCAGCACAGCTGCCAAACCCCAGAGCACATCTGGGAGCTCACCGCAATCTGTCCAGCCTCCTCCGTCAGGTACAGCTTCACATCCCTCAGGGCAGCCATGGCACATTGCCTGCAAAAGAGGGGACAGACATGTGGCTCTGATGTCTTCTGGCTGTGGTCACCCTGAAGTTACCCATCCTGTACAGATTCAGTTTTGAGCTCTCAGAACCCTCCTTGGGCAGGCAGGGGAAATTCAAATCCAGGGCAAACTCAGAGCCCAACTTCTCTGTTCATCACCCCCAAACTGGGTAACTGTGCTCCCAACCACAGCTTCACCACCATGTGGGGTCAGGGATGGGGTGCCCACACTCACCTCCTGACTTTCATGGCTTCCTCGTTGTCAGGACGGAAGAAGTCATAGGAGCTGTAATGCTTCACGGCCTCGCGGCGATACTCCCCAACATTGAAAACTGGGTGGAAAAACAAAACAAAACAAACCATCAAAATGACGGACATGACTCAGTTGTGCAGCTTCTGCAGTTAAAGCAAGCTCAGGCCAAGAAATTACATCCTCAGAGCAAAAGGCTCAGGGCATCCCTTGGACTTCAAAGTGAAGGAGAAGCTGAGCTGCAGCAGGATGTGAAAACAGATATTGGGCCTGTGGGATCTTGGAAACATCCCCCACTACCTCCCATCTCCCAAACCACTGATCTAAAGGAATTCCTGGGGACCAGACCTCCTGCTTTGCCCTGGAAGCCAGAGCAAGCCTTACCTTTTGTGGGGACACCAATCCAGTTGAGGTAGCGAGTCAGCTTCTTGGAGATGTAGGTCTTGCCACGGGCTGGGAGGCCAACCATGACAATCACAGTGGGGGAATTGGCAAGCTGAGGCCCACAGGCTGCAAGGAAAAAGAACAGGAGCTGTTAATTCTCCAGGTCTTCTTGCATCAACCCTACAAATCACTTGTTTTTATCCTGACTCTTTCCAAGTCCTTCAGCATCTCAAGGAAACCTGAAAGCCACAGCAAGAACATCCTGATAGGCGCAAAGTAGTCAAGGGCCCAGGAGCTGGCCTAGTCTCCCAGAAAAGCCTGAGCCTTGGTTTCCTTATCTGCAACCAAAAATTAAAAAAAATCAAGGGAAGCACACTTCACATCCCAATGGCTTGGCCAATTCCATGAAAAGATTAAGGATAGCCAAGGACTTTAAGACTCTGCAGCACTGTCTGTGCTGAAAAAACAGGCCTGGTCCAAGATCTTCACCCACAGAAAGCATCCCCCAAATTACTTGACTAGATTTTTAGATGAGACACAACCAGCTAACTGGAAGTACCAGCATTTAGAAGCAGATATCCAAGTGATTTATCACTTTTTTCCTCATAAACCCAAGCTGGGTTGTTGGGATTTTTTTTTTTTTTTAAATTTTTTTTTTTTTGTGGTGGAGAGGGCCCATATCAAACAGCTGGAAAGGAAATCCAGAGGCAGCATTTGCAGGACAGATGGGACCCTGCAGGGGATTTCTCACCCACCCTTCCATTCACCCTGTGAGCCCAGAGACCTCATAGGAAAGGAATGTAAGGAGTGAGTGGCTGGTGGCAGAGCCATAAAACCCAGCTTAATTATGGCCTGGGTGGAGAGCTCTGCCTGCCACAGCTGCCTGAAGATGGGACCAGAGGATGGAGACAGGGCTGGGGTAGTTTTTTGTCAGTGTGGCTCTGGAAAGGGCAAAACAAGGGGTACCCACAGAACATGCAAAGTACATGGGATTACCTTCCCCTTCTAAGAAAGGGAATAAATCCAGCAGCTGGAGAAACCAAATTAAGGCCACAAGGAAGAGTTACGGCACTTGCTCCCAGATGGCAGAGGAGAGACACCCATCATCCTCCTAAGTCTCTCACCAGAGCAAACTCAGCAGGCAAGAGATTAGAAACTACCTAAAATACATTTTCTCATTTTTTGTTTCATATATTTCCACATTGCCCAGTTTGGAGCTGCCCTCACACTCACTCCCAATGTGAAACCTGTTTCCCCCTCAGTGCAGCATTTCAAAACCCCAGGGCAGCTCCCAAAGATTTGGCAGCAAGTGCCAATTTTCTGTGCTGGGGCACAAAGGAGCTGTGCAACATACCCAGAAAAATACTTTTTCCCCCCTCTAACAATCTCGCATCCTCATCCAAGCTATGGGTGCAAGTCTGTTTTACACAAAACCCACACACTTATTAGACAAAGGGAAGAGGAAGGAATTATACCTGAATAAGGAAACTCTTCCTTTCCCTACCTGCCAGTGGACAAAGGCTGTCAAAGAGTAAAGCCAAGAGGATTTGGGACCATTAAATAGCACTCCAAGAGTGAAAGGACAATGCTGGGTAGTGTTCATGTCCCTGTGGCTCCAGACAGCTGTGACAGCCCCAGGGCTGGCAGTGCGTGGCCACACAGGTGCCACCTCCCCAAGGGTGCTGCAAGGGTTAGACACACCTAATTCAGGAATCTCCCCCCAATTTTTGCTGCCCTTGGACAATGGAACAGCACCTGGGAAGCACCTCCCAAAACACCATGGCATCAGCGAGAAACGAGAAACTTTTCATCAGGAATTTGAGCCCAAACCAAAAGTCTACGGGAAACTTTGCATCAGGGATGAAACAGAAGTCAGTGTTTTGCTCCCAGTCTTTCACAAAGGCCTCATTCATCATTTCTTTTCAGCACTGCTGGGAAGCTATCAGGGATTTCAATACATATTCATTACTCCTTATCGACATCTAGCCCGGTAAGTCAAGGGCAGGGATGACTTTCAGGCACAATCAGGATATTTAGAAGGAGCTCATCACTTTTGCCATTTGCAAGGTCAGCTTCACCAGTGGGTAAAAAGGAAGAGAAGTAAAAAAATAAGAACCAAAGAAAAAACAAACAAACAACAAAAAAAAAATAAACCAACAGCACGAAACGGAAGGAGATTTGCTTCTATAAAAGTCGAACAAAACAGCCACCTCTCCATTTCAGGCATTTTTAGTTTCCTCATAAGTATTCCCCAAAACCTCCCACAAGCTCGGACCGCACGTCCCATTAGTCCTACTCCCCCCTTTTTCCAGCTTCTTCCCGCTGCAATTCCAACACCTTCACGGATGCACTCCCATCGCAGGCACACATCCCAGGCGTGTGTTCCCACCGAGCCGGAGGGACGGGCAAAAGCAGCGAAGGGATGGAGAGAGGCAGCGGCAGCTCCTTCCTTCCCTCCTGGAGCATCCCCCTCCCCTCGCCCGCCTCTGCCCAGCCAGCGCCTTCGACGGCTCCGCTTTCCCAGCCCCTACGTGAGAGACGTGCGGAGTGACAGCAATTTAATGGATCGCCGTCAAAAGGCCAGCTGAAGGAATCACTGCAGCCTCCCCTGGACGAGCGATCACACAATCGGACTCGTTATTGCACGGCCGGGGAGCGAGCGAGCGTCCTTCCAGGGGATGCTCCCAGGGATGCGCCCGCTCCCTCCAGGCATCGCGCTGGATGCGGTCTCGTTATTCCTCCCTTCCCACACAGCTTTGGAGCCCTCGCTCTTTGTTGCTGCTGAGGAATTAATAGCACCTCCCGCTTAAAGTACCTCGAGTTAAAAAAGGGTAAGCTAAAAAAAGCCTAAAAACCCTCTTCTCACATTGCACAGCGTCTAGCGCGGCTTGTTCCCACCCCAAGAAAAAATAATTAGAAGCCACATTATGTTATTAATAAGCCCTTCGGTGCCTTAATATATTTAATATGTTCGGTTTTTTCCGCTACCAATAGGGAGCTCTCTCTGAGAAACCAGGTGACTGAAGTGGCAAAAAACCACTACATGCACAAGGGATTTCTTTCAGAGGTGCCAGTCCTTGAGAAAAATCCAGCCACAGAGGTACACGTGCAAAGCATTAAGCCGGCAGACGTTTTACCCTACTCTAAGCAAAGCCCCTTGGCTGCCCAGATGCGCAGGCTGTTGCTGAAATCCATTTCCTCGGCAGCTCCCGCTGCAGAGCTGCCCTTGCCAGGCACAGGCTGCGCATCCCAACATCTGCTCCAGGGTGCCTGACCCACAGCCACGGGCAACAGCATCTGGCAAGTTCATAGGATAGATATTTTTTTAAAAAATAAGTTCAGCCAAGGTAAATAAACATCGGAAGCGACTTCAAACGCCTGATGAAGGCAAGCATCGGAAAGACTGATTCACCCAAGCCACTTCCATCCCTCGCCAGGCGAGTGCCACCCCCCCCATCCCGGCTCCGCACATTCCTGCGACGCTCATTTAGAGTTAGCAGTCGCACAACTGGCAGGCTGTCAGCGTAGCTGGTGGGCGACTTAAAGGAGCTGCTTCCTGAGATTTCGGATTGGAGATCACGATTCAAGATTTGGTTTATAGTAACACTGGGATGACCCAAACATTTTTATATTCCGAGCTTCAGAGACAAGGGGAAGCCACTGCAGAAGTTTCAGCACTAATTTCTGCCTTCCCCTCCACCTGCCTCCTATCTCATCCCCACAGGGTTGTAAAGTGCACACGGCTGGTGTGTGGTTGGGTTTTTCTTTTTTTCCCCCCTAAATCCACTGCCTGAATCCTCCCTCCACCTCCAAAAAAAAAAAAAAAAAAAATCACACTAATTAGACTAATTAGGTTTGGAGCAACCTGGTCTAGTGGAAGGTGTCCTGTCACATGGCAGGAAGGTTGTGGAACGAGATTATCTTTACGGTGCCTTCCAACCCAAGCCATTCATGATTCTGTCATTAATAAATCCCCGGTCGAGCCGCTTGACACCGTGAAAATCCCAGCTGAGCTGGCGCCCCGGGTGCGAGGTGAACAACCTTTTAATGGCAGGGCTGGGAGCGGAGAGTGGAAATGGGGCCAGGCGTGTGCGGGCACCTCCCCGCAGCCTGCGCTCGGCCATGCGGGGCCATGTGACGGCTGCACCTTCCGAGCGAGTCACGGGATGGCAGCGCCGGGATGCGGGACCGCGGGGATGCTGGGCACGCCGAGGGGAAGGGATGCTGCAGGGATGCTGCAAAGAGCCCCGCCGAGGTGCGCACAGAAAGGGGAGAGAGCTCCCCACCCTTCCCATCCCTCCATCCCAATCCTCATCCCTCCGGGATGCTGCCGTGCCCGTACTCACAGCGGCGGGGCAGCGCCGGGCGGTTGTCATTGGGAAGCCAAATCTTCTGGATGCGGCTTTGCGTCAGCTCCATGGGCATTTTTAAAACAAAGGTCTTTTTGCGCTCCGCGTCCACCTTGATGCGTTTGCGGGAGGGAGGAGGAGGAGAAATAAAAAAAGGGGGGAGGGGGAAGGAGGTGGGGGAAATATATGACAAAAAAAAAAAAAAAAAAAAAAAGGGTTTTTGTTGCAGTCGGTGGCTTTCGGCGAGCGGCTGCGGCGCTTTCGGATGCTGCTCCGAGCCTCGTGAAGGTTTTACGGCAGCAGGGGGAGGAGGAGGAAAAGGAGGGCCGGGTCTGCAGGGCACAAAGCCGGGCAGGAACGGCCCCAGTGCAGCCGCTGCGTGCTGGGAGGGAGCGAGGACGAGCCCCGCCGCGAACCGCGATGGAAAGCGGGATGAAAAAATATAGTATTAAAAAAAATAAATTACCTCCCCTTTTAAATTGGAAGAGAAAAAAAATTATAATAGGAGAAGAAAGGCAAGAGAATCTCCACGCGAGGCAGCCGGCAAAGGAGTGGTGCTACAGTCCGGGCTGCTGCTGTGGCCGGCTCCGCTCACGATGTGCCGGCAGCCGCCGGGCCGCCTTTTCTATCCCGACAGGCCGGGACCGCCTCCGGGGCGGGGCGGGGACGGGCGCTGCGGCGGCGGAGGAGGAGGAGGAGGAGGAGGAGGAGGGTGGGGGGAGGATGATGATGATGATGAAGGGGGGATATCGGCCCGGCCCCTGCTGCCCCCTGGCGCCCGCCCCCCGAACTGCAGCGCGGACAAAGGACGCGCTTTGTT